CAAAACAAAAAATTGATCGTAACTCTTATGAAGCGAAAATTTTGAAAATTTGGTGGCGATCTAGGGGAAGTTGATCAAATACAGACGTAAAAACAGAGTGTCCTACGCTACGCTCCGGATAAATATAAACAACTCATTGAAAACTTTAAAATAAAAGAGAGCTTTTTTAAAAACAATATACTGTTTTACTTTTATTGCAAGCACAGTACTATTTATTTATAACATTTAATGGTTAATTGTCATTTATATAAATTTTGCAACTCTATCTCTAAAATTGAGCGATAAGTTGCATTTTTAAGCAAATTTTATCATAATGCTAATTAAAATATCTTGATACTATAATATTTACGGAGTTTAAAGATTGATCTTTAGGTTACATGAAAATCTTCATTATATCTTTAAAGTGACGTATACTGTAAAACGTTTACAAAGAGGAGGTTTTAAATTAACTATTTTATTAAATTAATAATAACTCATTTACTGTTCTTTCATCTAATCTTTGATAAATATTAAATAAAATAGCCTCTCATAAAAGAATTATTCTTGGGTATTAAATAATCTTTTGTAAATTATATTTATCATGTTGAATTTTTGAAATTGATTTAAACTTCGGTCTCAAATTTAAATTTTTAATTATAAATTCTAAGCTCTAAAATTTTTTTGTATCTCTGATTAATAGTTAACAATTGTAAATAGTTTATTTAATATTGCTTGTTGTTAATTAATTTTTATTAACATCTACTATTTGTAATACTGTTTCTTAGCCCCTGGCTAGTAAGAAACTATATTGCAATTAACATAAAAATTTCCGTAATGTTAACAATCTTTATGCCAAGTTTATAATATTTAGATATTATTCCAAAAATAAGATTTTTACAATATGGTATTTGCTTAAATTTACATTAATGCGTATGAGAAGTCCAATTTCAGAACTTTGTTTTTGATAGACTTCAAGCACTAGAAATTGTAAATTTCAGACATGATAGATTTACTAGTGCTGGTAGATCAAATAGTATTGGACGATGCTATATGAAAGGTAATGAATTGAAAAAATAAACAGAAAATCTTGATTGTTATTAAGAAAGTTCTTGTAAAAAGGACTATACATTTTGCTAGATTAAAAACAAGAATTAAGACCCTTGCGCCACAAACTTATTTTCGCTTCATAAGAGTTACGATCAATTTTTTGTTTTGTTTTGATTTTTCTTCGCGAAATCGTAGCGAAATTTTTTAGAGTGGTGATGTTAGAGTAGTTGATATGAAACCAATCTTGACATTCTTAAACTTATCTATAGGTTAAATAAGTACAGTATCAATAGAAAATTTTTAAGAACTATATTAAATAAAGTTCTTCTTTGTTTAAATATAATATTATAAATTTAATACTGCATACAAAGAAAAAATCACTTCAATTTTTATATGATACGGAATATTACAAGAAACATCCACCTCTGCTTGACTAATACACCTAAATTGGGGTATTGTACAGGCACTCCAAGATAGTACAATGAAAAATGCAATTTCACTATGAAAGTGTCTAAAGATATTGTACAGTATATAGATCCAAAGATTAAAGCATCGCCTTTATAAATTAATTAAACTGGGTATATGTAAGTTTATTTCTAATAATAACCGGGTTCATACGCGTTAAATATATCTTATTCGGATAATAGTAAAAAACAATTGTCAAGGTTGTGAGACTGCTTGTAGAATTCTTTATACTTTGTACCGGTACTATCTATAGTATATAAAAAGAAATAAAGGATCGTGATTAAATTGCTCTACTAATACAGTATAAGATCATACTGAAATCATGTTCGACAAATAATTTATGAATACAGTTGTAAATTCATAATAATGGTGCTCACGATCTCGTTCACGTTCCCAAGGTACGTACGTACATGATATCATATCTGATATGATGAAAAAACTAACTATTGATCAAACTAGATTTGTTAAATTATGATAGAAATAATAAAACCTTATCGTTGTTAATATCTTATAACGATAAACATCAATTTTAACAACATTTTATAATTGTACAACAGATTGAAAAACTTGAACTTGTTAATATCAATTAGTAATATTTAGGTCTGCATTTAAAATCATTTTGTTGTATTCTACACGGTAGTGTATTTGGTAACCTTCAAAATTTTAAAAAATGAAAATAATAATAAATATAAATTTTATAATATTCTAATAAGGATAATCACTGTACCTGAATTCGAGTATTACTCAACATAGTGTTGTTCTTTCTCAACGCTTGTTCGACCGAATTAGAATTAACAAAATCCATGGTTGCAGATCGTCTACATAATAATTCAACATTAATTTATTGTAATTCTTTGCATATTGAAAAATGTATTGACGCCTATTAAAATACCCTCTATAGCCATCATAAATAGAAACTTGTTTTATTTTCCCGCATTCATTAAAATGACGACATAAATCACCAGGTGAGGTAGATCCACTAAACTAAAATAAGATTGAAGATTGTGAGCACGGTATTGAAAAATATTAAGTATTATTCCACGTTTCTATATGATCGCATGACGGGATTTACAACTTATAATCACTACTTTAATCAGTAAAAAAATCGAGTTTCTAGCAATGTTTGTTATTTCCCCGGCAACGC